GCAGAAAGAAGTTCTGCGCAAAAGTACTTCCGGCCCCCTTTTCCGGCAACACAGAAAGGAGAATTCTACATACATACATGAAATACAAATTTAATTGCCGGAGGATACAATGGTATTAGGTTTAAGACATACAAGTACAAAGATATTTGTAAATTATTTTGAGCTGCGGATTGCACAATTGGCCATTGTAGCCTGTTTCTTAACTAATTTTTGGTATTTTACCTTTGGTTTCTTCAATATTCTCACTTAAGGCGATGTTACGCAGGCGATTATATGATCCCTGGTCACCAATTGTTGTTGCTCTCACTGCACAACGATAAAATTAAGAGCGAGCGAGAGAACTGAACGCATGACCAATCGGTTCAAATTTGACCAGCCCGCTGAGACCGAATAACCGATCAAAAAAGGGTTGGCTTATGAATACAATTTACTATTTGTTCCTCTTAGTAGCGAAATGGAGTATTTTTCATACCATTTCTCCTTTTAGTACCAGAATGCTACATCTTTGCTGCAGATGTGTACAAAGTAGTATATACATATGTACATATGTAGAATAAACCTAATGATAGCAACTCTTGTTTTGTTTGCTTTTGACATGTTTTTGTACACATACATACATATGCCATTTCTTATTTTTTTACGTCATATCATAACACATATCGCACCCTAAATAAAAAACTGGTACAACACAAAATTTGTCAAAATTTATTTTTTTTCCATAAAACGTCCGCGAAAATTTTTTCTTCATCACTATCTTCTTTAACTGGAAAAATACTACTAAAACTTCTTAGTTTTGCTTGCGTCGATTGCGCAGCATCAACAGTTTTTTGCCTCTGCTGAACATTTAGGATTTTTTGAGTTGTGACGGTTTTTGATTTAGTGTGCGATATTTAAAATATAGTAAAATAATATACCAAAGAAATGCAACCGAGCTAAAGAAGTACGCTGGTCGTTTGACCCTCTGCAGAACATCATGTTGGGCAAAGAGAGTAAAAATGGAAAAAATTAGAGAAAAAGTTCCGTGACCGGGGATCATATGACCGTCTGCTTAACAGCGCCCTTAGAGATTTTATACTATTTGATATCTATTGTTACGTAATAACTAGAATATACATATGTATGTAGTTACATAAGCCTTAACTGTTACACTTACAAGTAGTTTGAGCTCGCATAATGTCGAGTGTTTAAATACTTTCGTTAGCTAATTCTAAAGAGTGCGCGTGTGTGTGTGACAGCGCACGGATTTCGTAAACGCCATTGTGCTTCTATTTACATACAACCTTTGGATACACAGTCTCCGCACTACCACGTATAGTTCATTTGTAGTGATAGCGCAGAGATTCAACATCCGATTCTTCGTCGCTAGATGAGGGGGGCGTTTCCAGATTCGCCACGGCCACGTCCAGATAATCTTCATTTGCCAAGAGCAATTTGTCTAAGTTCTCGACGATCTCAGCAAAAGTGGGTCGCGCGCTGGCATCGAAATGCCAACACTGACGCATTAGCATATAAATGTTCAGTGAGCACTTAGGCGGTTTTTCCATACGCTGCCCTGACATCAGATAGCTGTAAAGCTCTTCGGCGGACATGATGGTGGGATATGGTTGTGCACCAAAAGTCATAATCTCCCAGAGCAGTATGCCATAAGACCAGACATCACTTTGCGAATCATAGAATTTGTCCTGCAGCGATTCTGGCGCCATCCATTTGATGGGCAAACGACCATTGGTATTCTTTCGATAGTAGTCGGTGTCCTGTATGTCGCGTGCCAAACCGAAGTCAGCAATCTTCATGACATAGTCATCGCTAACCAATACATTGCGCGCGGCCAAGTCGCGATGTATGCAACGCCGAGATGCCAAGTACTCCATGCCGCGCGCGATCTGGAAGGCGAACGAAATGAGATGCTTCTCGGTTAGAATGTGCTTTGGTAGCGGCAACTGATGCTGTTGATCGCCATAATCTTTCAGTGTGCCTGCAGTTAGCGGCCTATTTTTGTTGAGGAAATCCTTTAGGTTACCATGTGGTGCGAACTCAACAATCACGTAAAGTGGGCCGTTTTGACTGCAACAGCCAAGCAAATTGATAATATTGATATGCTTACCGATGATTTTCATAACTTCCATTTCGCGCACTAAACTTGCAATATCATCATCGGTGTGTCCTTCTTTCACCATTTTAACGGCGACAATAGAGTTATTCACTTCGGCCATGACGACGCGGCCAAAAGCGCCTTCGCCCAGTGTAGCGCCTAGTATCAGCTGCGAGCGCGGTATTTCCCAGTTCGAATCCAGCGGGAACTCATACTCATTGAATGGTGCCGGCTCCGAGTTGGAGCTCTGCAACACGGTTGTGCGTTGTTTTTCGATTTTCACCACCGGCATTATCATGGTGTCCATCGAGCCGCTGGAATCGCCACTTGGCGGTTTATAAATTATCACTTTCTTTGTCCACTGATGCACTGTTTCAATGCGTTGTTTGAGTAGCTTTTCGTGTTTAACTTTGCGCAACACATATACGAAGAATGTGATGCAGACCAACCCCAGTAGCACCATGACGGCCACGACACCCCAAATCTCATATCCGTGCATAAATTTCGTTACAGCGCGTACACTCGGGTCTTGCACATGCATGTAGGCTTTGCTGTAGGATTGGCCCAGGCCATTCATTTCGATGCAGGTGTACCAGCCTTCATTAATAGGTGTGACATTCGTAAAATTCAAAATGTCTATGTCTTCAGCGTGTTTCAAAAAGGTGTAATTCTTCGAGCATGCAGTCTTGTTGCATGGCGTGAAAGTCCACGTTTTCTTGCTGTAAAGGTCTGACAGAAAGACACATTCCATTTGGCCGCTTGCATTTAAGGGCAATGTTAGATTAGCTGGAGCTTTTAGTATGATTGGTTTGTGGTTGACGCGATCACTGATGATCAGCTTTGTTGCATGTTCAATGCAACCCAGGTAATTACACACCCTGCACTTGTATACGCCAGAGTCCTCAGGCACCAGATCCTCCATGTTGATAGCCCATTTTGACTTCTTAACGCGTCCCATATGACGGTTGATCTTTGTGTCGTTGCGCGTCCACGTGATGTTTGGCTCTGGTTTACCAACAGCCGGGCATGTTAACTGTATATAACTGCCCGAAGGTTTTGAGTATATATTCGGAGGAGGCTTTGACGACTTGAAGCGTGGTGCGAAATCCGGGATTGACTTGCTACCATTCCTCGCCTGACCGCCTCCATCTTCGCCGCCAATGCCGTCGATGTCGCCGTTTTCAGCTGCTGTCTCTGCATTAACATCCTGTTCGCTACGCTTCTGCACCTCGAATATACTATCGTCGTAATCGTTTAGCTCCTGTGAAGTGGGCTTCCGGGCAAACACCGGATCGAGCCGATTCAAAATACAAAACAAAAGAATACTGAAAGTGAATAGCTTAAAGAGTTCCGTAAATGCAGCCATTGCGGGTGTAGCTGCGCGTATGACTATTCCTGCGCGGCTACTGAACGCATTTGTTCGTCTGCTGGTTGCTGTGGCAACTTCGCTGCGACGATGGCGTCTATTTTTGTAATTTATGTGACGATGCTGTGGTTTATGGCTCTCTTGTCGGAGTCTATGACTGTGGCACCCGTACTTTGCCTCCAGCGGCAGCCCGAGTGGTTGTGGCTGTCTGTTGCTGTAGTCTCGTTGTGCACTGTACTCGTTGTTTTTGCAATGTTTGTAGGTGTGTCGCGTGTTGAATCCATTTTTAGTTGCACCCGCCTGTTTATTTTTGTAAATGCCTCGCAAGGGGTGCACGTTGACACATGTGTTGTGAATATGGTTTCGTCATTCGGCTGCTCTAGCCTCTTGAGCGCGCGTTGTTAGTTCTTCGGATGACTTCTTGATTCACCGGAAATCCACTTTAGTTTCTTTTAATTTGAGACTTTCTATTTCTTCTTTTAATTTATTACTGCTTCTTTACCACTTAGAGAAGCTGTACTTGTTGTTGGGTGCTGTTCTACTTCTAGTTACTACAATTGTTGTTGCTGGCTTTGCATTTGCACGCACTTTTTTGGATTGGAAGCAACATGTGTTTTTCCCGTTTATCATTTGGTGTTCGACGTTTGATGTTTGATTACTTTGCGCCGCTGCGATGATCGACTGAGCGATTTCATGTGACAATCACCTTTGAAGCGGAAATATCTAAATGATGCAACCATACAACCGACGAAATATTGTTGCTACTTTGGTGTATTTTCTGGCTTGCGGTGGAGTCTCGCTGTTGTTGCTGTTGATGGATTTACTTCTTTTATTTTTGACGCTTATCTGCGGTATTGCAGTTGTCAAATTGTTTGATGACAGAATTGTTGGCTTTTCAAAGGGCTCTGCAATATAAAAACAAAAACAGGAAACGAAATAATAAAACATTTTTAGAAGCTTACGATATTATATATTTTTCTCTGAAGATATCCTTAAAATGACCATATATTTGATACAAATTATCCTTCATTGTAAAATGGTTTAGAAAATACTGCTTTAATAAATTTCAATTTGCAAACATTAAACATTTTTATACCTTTCGTGAAGATGAAATGGTATTAAAATTTGGCCCGATGATAAGTTAACATTGTTAAAAAAGCTAAAACAGTTCAAAGTTGCTCTAAACACAAGCCAAACAAGTTAATAGTACACTATGTTGCATAATTATAAGACCGAAAAATATTACCGTTGATTTCTGACAATTTTTTTTATTGACAGTGTTGTTCAATTTCTCCCATATAAAACAAATCTAAGATACTTTGCATGGAGGGAAATGTGTGATACCGTTAAAAAATGCCAAAAATCAATGTTATTTTTTAGCCATATCAAACTCGCACTTTATTATACTAAATACAAAGTTTAAAATGTGAATTTGTATGGTATTTTTTGTAGAATGAATATAAGAAAATAATTGAAATTAATGTATATAAAAATAAAAAGTCGAAATTGTTAATATGTGGCGCTCTTTGAATTATTCTCTGAATTTTTATAATTTTTGCGCAAAGTTTAAAATGTTAATTTGTATAGTGTTTGTTATAGAATGAACTAAATTTTTATGAGAACATAATTAATATTAATTAGTATAAAAATGAAAAGTCAAATCTTGTTAATATGTGGTGGTCTTATTATTATGTAACGCAGTGTAGGTATGTCATTAATAATGGGCAAAGAAAAATAGCGACCCTGGTTATGCATCAAAACAACGATAAATATAATTACGGGGCATCTCCACGGGCAAACGCTTTATCTTAATCATGTCATTAGACAATATATGTATTGTCAATGGAGACAGCTAAGATAACCTTAATAAAAATTGCCTGTCAGTTTATTTGGCAACCAGATTTTCATTTGCACGAAAACTTAGTGGAGGTTGATTTTTCAGTATGGTAGAAAAATTTAGCTGTTTTCTGTTGGTATACGCAAGCCCGCGAAATATAATTTTTACCCTTTGCAATAATTATGTTATTTTTTTTTAATATCTTGGTATATTAAATTAAGATAAATCCTTTGGTTCTTTTCCAGCACGTCGAGAGTTATTTTTACTGATTACATGTACTTACATGTTAGAATTTTTAGCAGTGTGCATGAAAACCCTCAAATTCTTTAATTTAGAATAAAATTTTTATTTAAAAACCAATAGACGCAAGAAATGCACGGTACTGCTTAGAAAAATTATAGAAGTAATCTTCTCGAAAAAAGTTCGTAATGAAATTTTTTATTATTTTTCGGCAGTGTGGTACCTATACGTACCCAAATTGCTAATTAGATTTTTAAGGGGAAAACCAAACAATTTTTTAAGCAGATTTGCGCTCCAATTCAACGAACACACTTATTTTAATCCATCTTGCAAAATCTATTATCAAGATGGAAAATACCCGTACACAAATATTGCCAGTGATACACATATCTGGCAAACAGAATGACATAAGGTTGGCAATAGTTTAAAAATTACGACAAGGAGGACATTTTTGCTCAAAAGGAGGACAAAGAAGGACACAATTTTTGAAGAGGGCGAATCACTTTTGAGGGGCACAATCCTCCTCAAAGAAAGACGGTTGGTCAGGTTAACTAACTGTATATCTCAAGACATCATTTGGTTATAGTTACATTATTTGGTTATAGTTACCAAATCATGTGCTGAGAGAAATATATTTAGTTGACGGTTTTTTCTGAGTGTAGTCACTCAGATTTTTGAGTTACCCGACTGAAAATTTGGAGAGTAGGTGTATTTTTACAATGTATTAATACTACTATAAGTAACTCTGAGAAGAGAGTTTAGTTAGGTCAACTAACTATGGTTCTTTCAACAAATGATTTCGTTGTAGTTACATTATTTGGTTATAGTTACCAAATCCTGTGTTAAGAGTAATATATTTAACGAACTCTTTTCTTAGTGACACGATAATAATAGTTTGGCGCTTACACAATATGCTAGTGTATGGCCGAGCTTCTCCTCGTGCTTCTGGCGTGCGTCTTGATGATACCACATCAGAAGAAATACTCTGTGAGGTTTGTCATTGCCTTCTTCTTTTATTTTTTATTTTTTGTCTGAACCTGGCCACTACACCACAGCAGCCGCTGAGAAAAATTTCCAATGCATGGAGCGCGTACTACTATCGAAAAGTGACCCAACCGACTTCGCTGCTGCTGGAAGGCAATTGGCGGTCATTTCAAATTTGATGTTGTACAATCTTTAGCGTTTGAGTTAAATGTACAACAAATAGAAAACAAACGTTAGAAAATAAGCGTTCATTTTCATTTTATTAGCCAAATACCATGTACCAAAACAATTGCTAGTACCAAATACATATCGCACATTTGCTGCAAGAGTGTCAAAGTGCAAAAAATTAAAAACTGGAGAAAGACAGCTTTAAAGTTATGAATTTACATAAGTACACTCACCGTGTAAAAATCAATACATATTTTGTTTTAGTGAGCTACTGGTAATCGGTACAGCTACATAAGAAATTTTTAAACAACATATGTAGAAGAGCAAGTAGCAGTAATTTCTTCATACTTAATTTTTAACCGACTATCAAAAAAGGAGGAGGTTATCAGTTCGTCGGAATATTTTTTTTTTTTATGTTACCGCATAACTTTGGACCACGTCAACAGATTCTACCGATAATTCTTTTTGCATCGGAAAGGTAGTGTCCCAGAGGTGGTCCCATACTAATCTGGTTAAGATCCGATCAGTGGATCATGAGATATATATATATATTTTTTTTTTATATGAGAGTTGAAGTCGGTTTTTTTTTTT